TTTGTCTTCATTTTCATTGGTTTCCAGGAAGTTTTTGATTTCTTCCTTGATCTCCTTGGTGACCCATTCATTGTTTAATAACATGCTATTTAGCCTCCATGCATTCAAATATCTTTGTATGTTCTTGCAATTGATTTCTTGTTTCTTGCCATTGTGATCTGAGAAGATGTTTGATATGATTTCAATCTTCTTGAACTTGTAGAGACTTAGTTTGTGCCCTAACATGTGGTCTATCTTTGAGAATGTCCCATGTGCACTTGAGGAGAATGTGAATTCTGTAGTTTTGGGGTGTAGTTCTCTGTAGATGTCTATTAAATCCATTTTGTCTAGTCCTTCATTTAGAGTCTCTGTTTCCTTGCTAATTTTTTGTCTAGAGGATTTATCCAGTGATGTCAGCGGGGTGTTGAAGTCCCCTGCTACGAGTGTATTTCTATCAATTTCTCTTTTGAAGTCCTCCAGAAGATTTTTAATATATTTTGGTGCTCTTATAGTGGGTGCATATCTTTCTGTTGGATAGATCCTTTCAATATGATGTAGTGGCCTTCTTTGTCTCTAGTTATGACCTTCATTTTGAAATCTATTTTGTCAGATATGAGTATTGCTACCCCAGATTTTTTTTTTCCCTTTTGCTTGGAAGATTTTTTTCCATCCCTTCACTTTCAATCCACGTGAGTCTTTTGTTGTGAGGAGGGTCTCTTGTAAACAATATATAGATGAGTCATGCTTTCTTATCCAATCAGCTACTCTGTGTCTTTTTATGGGTGCATTCAATCCATTTACATTTAAGGTGATTATAGATATGTAGTTATTTATTGCCATTTTTGTTTAGTGTGGTTCTATTTTTCTTCCTATTTCTCCTGTTAATTATAGCAGTCCTTTTAACATTTCTTGCAGTGTTGGTTTGTTGCTAATGTAACCCTTAGCCTTTTTTTTTGTCCGTGAAGCTCTTTATTTGACCTTGTATTTTGAATGATAGCCTTGCTGGATAGAGTAATCTTGGATTCAGATCCTTGTTTTTCATGACCTTGGTTACTTCATGCCATTCCGTTCTGGCCTGTAGTGTTTCTTGTGAGAAGTCAGCTGAGAGTCTTATGGGATTTCCTTTGTAGGTAACCTGTTGCTTATCTCTTGCTGTTTTTAGGATTCTCTTTTTGTCTTTAATTTTTGGCAGTTTGATTACTATGTGTCTTGGTGTGGGCCTATTTGGAGTCTTCTTGCTTGGGCCCCTGTACTTCTTGAACTTTAATGCCTTCTTCCTTCACCAAATTAGGAAAGTTTTCTGTCACTATTTCTTTGAATATATTCTCTAACCCTTGCTCATTTCCTTCTTCTTCGAGGACTCCTATGATGCGAAAATTATTACGTTTCTAGTTGTCCCAGAGTTCTCTTAAGCTGTCTTCCTGTTTTTAATTGTTTTTTCTTTGGTTTTCTGATTGGTTGATATTTTTCTTCCCTGTCTTCTAATTCACTGATCCGGTCCTCAGCTTCCTCTTCTTTGCTTTTTAGACCTTCCAATGTGTTTTTCATTTCTGATATGTCATTTTTTATCTCTTCTTGGTGGTTTTTAATTTCCAATTGGCTTATTTTTAGCATCTCTATTTCCTTACACATGCTGTTGAGCTTCCTCAAGATCATGGCTCTGAATTCTAGTTCTGTTAACTTGCTTAACTCTACCTCATTTATCTCATCTTTGGTAGAGGTCTCTTGTTCTTTCATTTGGCTTTTGTTTCTTTTTCTCACCATTTTGGCTATCACAGTGGGCTTTGGAGTCTGTCAATTTTTCCCTGTGGGTCTTGGTGTTCTGCTGTTTGTGGCTCTCTCTCCTGGGTTTGGATGAGGCAGGGAGGACCCACTTTAAACATCACTGTCAAGTCGTAACTTTCCTGGTTAGAGTTGCCATCCTAGGGAATGGTAGTTATCCTCTAGCTTTTTTTGCCTGGAGGCTATTAGTAGAGGTCACCTAAAGAACCTTGGTTTCTGAGTTGCCTGAAAAACTCCCTCAGGTGCGCAGAGTAAGAGGATTTCCTGAGGGTGGGGCAGATGCTAGTTGTTAATGGGCCTCAATTAGCATTTCAGTGGCCACCAGGTGGGGTTGAATCTCGGAGGGAGGGGCTGCCGCCTCTCCCCAGGGCCCTGGGGAGGAGTAAGATGACCACAGTTCTGCGTGGCTGCACTCAGCAAAAGCTCTGAGCACCCTTCAAATCCCGAGTGTCCTCACACAGTTCCATTCCATCTGCCCTCCCTCTGCCGGAGCCCAAGGTGATTGGCTGCTGCCAATCTAGCCTCCGTCCTAACTGTGCATTGTGGAGCCGCCTGGGACTTTTAACCTGAGGGCGCTACTTCCAGCTAAGGGCAGCCGAGTCTGCACCCTAGCCCAGGGTGTAGCACCCAGCCAAGTTCACAGGAGTCAGCTGCGGTCCCTGGATCAGCCACGGAGGCAGCAGCTTCCAGCCGAGTCCCCTGGTCCTAGCCAAGTGTGCTGGCCCAGCCCAGGGCGCTGCCGACCCTGGGCTCCCAGCCCCCTCTCGCATCCTCACAAGCCTACCAGGATTGAGTCAGTGTCTCTGGTTATGTGGTCCTCCAAGCTGCCTTTCCATGGCCCCTTCCTGATGATTTGTCTTTATTTTCGTTGTAAATCCAGTTTAGTCCTGGGAGATGGTCTGTGTAGCTTCCATTCACTCTGCCGCCATTTTTTCTCCCAGTGTCTTTAAAAGTTTCTCAAATTTCTTATTTTCAGTGGCACCAGGCTCATGTTTGGGTGTGTGTGTTATTTATGTAGCATTTCCCTGTTGAATATTTAACTTGGGCAGCAAATATTTATATGTAAATTAACAGCAATGAGTTGGATTAGTTCAAACATTATTATATATATTTTACACTTAAAATGTTGAATAGGTTATACCCAGGTCTACACATTCTTCAGTTCCTTTTCTCATTTTTTGCCTCAGATAGATTAAGTGGCATTACTTATATTCTTGTATGACTCTTTATCCTGGAAAATCAAGTCAAACAGCATAGGCATTTGTTTTTAAGGCTCTTGTTATCTCGTTCTAGAAAGATTGTAATAGTATATATTCCACCAACAGTTTGAGAATGCTCTTCTTTTTCTAATATTATTATCACCACATTTTAAAAAATCAGTCTATTTTAAAAAACTCTTATTTTAGTGTTTATTCCTGTGATTATTAATGAGGTTGCACATATTTTCTGGTCATTTGTCAGTTTTCTGTGGATTGGCAGTTAATGTTCCTTGCTCATTTTTTTTTTTTTTTTTAGAGTGTTAGTGTTTTCTTATTAATATATAAGAACTTTCTAAACTATAAATCTTTTTTCAAACATTTTTGTAGCAATACTTTTATCTTGATGTGCAGTTTCAATTTGGTTCTAAAAATGTTGATGTTATATTTTTATATGGTCTATGAATTTTTTTTTTTTTTGCTGATTATTCACAGCAAATTTTTCTCCCCTAATAGTATGAATATTCATTTACAAGTTTTTACAAAGGCCTCAGTTTTAATAATTAACATTTTAACCCACCTGAAATTAATTCTAGTGTATAATGCATTAATATATCTTCTAATGTAGGGTGGTCATTATATTCCTGGGTGTGGCATATTTTACTTTTCTGTGTTTCTGGATTAGATTTAATAGTGTTTCACTTCCTGTCAGTAGTCACAATTAACAGTAATTTATCATTTTTGAGCTATCAGCTTTGGTATCAGGATTATGCTAGCCTTGTTCACTATATATATGCAGTATATTCTTGGGAGAAATGTTTGCTGTTTGTAGCTGGCTGTTGTTTCTGGAATTCCAGTTTGATCAAAGGCAGGGCAGAGTTTTTACTCTCTCAGTCCGAACTAATTTTTATTTTCTCAGTTCAGTGACAGTGGGCTGGGTGAGTTTTAATTTTTAAAATGTATTTTTAAAATTGAATTTTTTAATGATCTAACTCATATTCTAGTTGGATTTTTGAAAATAATATGTATTTATAGTTAAATACAACGTCATAGATATCTATTAAGTGAAGTTGATCAAATTTGTTTAATATTTTGAGTCTACTCAATTTATCATATTCTGAGAGAAATGTGCTGAGGATCCGCAAGTCTTTTCTCTCCCACTTCCCCTCCTGTTACAATAATTTACATATTTTTAACTTAGGGACCCTGCAAGGTTTAATTCTGAATGGATTTCTCTCTTTTCATTGGCTGTCTCCACCCTGTCTTGCAGTTTCTTCTTCAAGTGCTAGATGGCATGCTTTTTGTATTTGTTCAGGTGGGAATTCATCTATAATGTTAATTCATTGTTTTCTACTCTTATTTTTTTTTTCAACCTGCTTATATCACTCTTAAATTTTATCTTATTTCTGTACTTGTTTGCATGATCCTGAATTACATTTATCAATTAAGCTCGATCTAAATATGTTATTTCTTTAGCATATTACAAATCTCATTAAACTATCTCTCAATTTTATGGATAGAGAATGATATAATTCCTCTTTTCTTGTTTTATTATTTCTGTCACTGGACTGTATTAGATGAGGCAGAGCATGTGTGTTCTGCTCAGAGTATCTGGTACTTATCTTATTGTTCTTTCTAGCTGAAGACTAGAAGGTATGTGTATTTGTTTCTTGCTTTTATTCTAATACAAATACATTAGATATTATTTAGTGTTGAACCTCATGGGTATAAGCAATGTACCGTTAAGTTCAGCCCAATTATATGTTTCCAGATATCCAGTAGTTCAGTTAATTTTGAGATTTTCTTAAAACCTAAAGGCTTAATAATAATAATAGTTATAACCTTGAAAAAATTACTCACCTTGTACCTAAATTCCCTTATTTATAAAATGTCTTGAGATGTAAACACTAGATACGAAAGTGTATCTTAGTAAGTCTTCTTTGGGTTTATTGATTTGTCTCTTGCATATGTTATTTCTTTTTGCTCAGTAAAACTCAGTAGTTTTATCCAGTATTATTTTCATATCCTCCAATAATCCATAGAGAAGGGAGGAGGCACCAGAATTTTCTGCTATACTTGCTTCTGAGCAAAAGTTGCTGAAATGGCTTATAGAGAAGACAAGTTAGTCTACGTGTGTTCTGGCTAACCACCAGTTCCCTTGGAACCTGGTGAAAGCTGCCTTCTTTAGCCAGAACCCGTGGGCTCCTTGTCTCACAGGAGAAGATAGAATATGCAACAAAGAAGTTCTAACTTCTGGTCAAGGATCTAGGAAATAAAAAGAAGGATTCTATTTCATGTGGCAAATTTGTGTACTATACCTCCAGTGCAACAATCCTGTTGAAAAATTTTTCCCTGTTGTGTCTTGTCTCTTTTGTCTTTGAGCTAGACACAGCTAAGAAAGCAACTGGTTTGCGAGTTGATGCAGCCTGTATTGAGTGGAGAAATGCAGCCCCCATCCATTTCAGTGGAAGGAAGTGCCTTCTTAATAGGCGCTTCTAACTCTCTAGTGGCAGATCACTTGCAAAGATGTGGCTATGAGTATTCACTTTCAGTTTTCTTTTCGGAAAGTGGCTTGGCAGAAGAAAAGGTAAAGTTTTTACTTCCCATTTCTGAATTTTCTATTAACAGCCTATTTTTTCCCCCCAGATGATAGTAAGTGCTCCATAATAGCTGAGTGCTCCTAGGCTGGCTTGGTCCATTTCTCAGTCATCTTTTATGTAGGGCAACAAAGGAGGACTTGCTTTGAGATTCCAGTTTTTTGGAATCTTCATTAGTCTTTTATTAAATTATGGTGTGTAGAATTATGAAATGCTTTATAGCTAGAATTAATATTATGTCCCACGTACTTAACTAAGATTTATAACTGCCATTGATGACTGTCTCTTGCGAGCTTGGCACAGGTATGTATGTCCCAGATGAGGAACCAGAGTCTACAGAGGTGGGTGATTTGCTCAAGGTCACGAGATTTTGAGGTGGAAACACAGGATAGTAAATCTAGATCTCTAAAAGGTGTTCTTTTTGCAAAAAAAAGGCAGTCTTTAGATAAGAGAAGTAAAGAGTACATTAATTTTTGTAAATCTCCATTCTCAAATATTAAAATACATGATTTCTCTCTTCTTTCATTATTTTAGCTATATTCCTATGCCATTGAACATATTCGTAACACTTTTTGGTTACTTTAAAGGCATATATAGAAATCTTTTAAAATATTTTTTTAAATAGACTTAGTGTTTTAGAGCAGTTTGGGTTCATGACAAAATTGAGCAGAAAGTGGGAGTGCCTGTATGCCTGACCCCCTCACATGTGCACATCTTCCGCCATTGTCAACACTTTTACAATCAATGAATTTACACTGTGGCATCATTATCACCTGAAATCTGTAGTTGACATTAGCATGCACTCTTTGTGTTGTCCCTATGTTTTAACTCTCTTTATCTTATCTATAATTGTCTAAAGTTTCACATTCAGAAGTTTTAAGAAGTCATAGCCAGTGTTAGTGTTTGGAAAACTTAAAATTTAAATAAACTGCATTTATTCGTTAACAGCCAAATTTTGTTTATCAACAGTAGGAATTATTCTTTGGTCCATTAGTGTCTAAGATTAATTACATTGCACAATTTTGTTTATTGAATGAGCAGTGGTCAGTTATATAGGATTACAACAGTAATTAATCTAGTTCACACACTTAAAGGGTTTTACTGCTATAAAATGCCATGTAGAAAATATTTTCTTTAAAGGAAAACCAATAGAAATTCATATCAGTATTCTCAGAGTAGATATAGTAAATCATAAATACTATATTGGGAATATATATTGAGAATAACTACCCAAAATGTTTGTTTAGAACTATTTTCAATATACTTTAGTCATTCATAGTTGTAAGGACAGTAAAAATTTAGTTTATTTACATTTTGAAGCAAAGTACTACTGTATTTTGAAAAAATTCATTGCTATTGAAACACTCTAGAAATACTCTTATTTAGATTTGAGTATTTATTATCTGTAAGACATTAACCATTTCTGTGGTGTCTGGTTGGCATGTCATCTTCATTATAAACTATTTGGATGTTTATTACATGATCAAGAAAAGTATTTTAGCCCTGGCCATTGTGGTTCAGTTGGTTGAGTGTCAGCCCATGTACCAAAAGATCTCCAGTTTGATTCCTGGTCAGGGGTTGTAGGCTTAGTCCCCAGTAGGAGGCATGCAAGAGGAAGCCATTCGGTTTCTCTCTCACATCTGTGTTTCTCTTTCTCACTCCCTTTCTCCCTCTCTAAAATCATATAAAAAATTTATGTTTTGACCTCAGTATGTTTATTATAATCTATTTAATAGTGTAAGAAGAGCTTCAATTTTATATTATTAGCATAGTTACAATCTTATTTCCTATTTAATCACGTTAAGAAGCATCACTCTTAGTCTGATATTTAGAAACAATTTATTATTTAAATGTTGATGTAAAATATGTTTGCTTAATTTTTTTTTTCCCTGTAAGGTATTGACTATGCAGGATCTATTACAACTCTTTAAAATTAACCCTGAATCCAGTCTCTACAAGTCACTGGTAGGATTTTTAAATTATTATAACTTGCTTTGATTTGTTTATTTCACATGAATAGCCTCATAAAGGTAAAATATTTTCTTTAACAGATTTCAGGATTTGACAAAGAAAACAAAAAAGGTAAGAGCCTTCATCTTTATAGAAATACAGTAACATTTTTGTCATGTAGTTACCTTATAAAAATATGAAACCAGTCATTTTTAGGGAGAAGAAAAGGTAATCTAATTTGAATTAAATTATACTTTTTTTTTTTGCTGACAATACCTAACCTTTTAAATAAACAGAACAATAGTACATCTGCTGTTTTGAGAAATATAGATCATTTCCTCGAAACTCATCATCAAATACGATAGTTGTAGACACTATCAGTAGCCCTACAAATGGACTAAAAGGTTCTCTTTGGAAATAATACCCATTATCTGGAACATTTCTGCACAAAAAAACAAACTAATGTTTGGTCTGTGTATCTTTATATCCCAGATATCTCCCTCAAGTACAATTTATAGAGTATTATATTAATATTAAACAGTGAAATATCTGTTCAGTAATGTGTTTTTTATTCTGAAGTGTTTATATAGAGCAGAGAAGTTACTTTAAATTTGGTCTTGATAATCTGTAACTGCTGTGGACTGCAAGAGAAAACATGTATATTGGTCTCTGCCCCCAGTTCCTGGCACAGAGCTCTGAAAACCCTTGCCATTTGCTTGGAGACAGTAGTGTCTTTCGTTCTTTTCTTTCACCCTCACAGGTGCCAGGAACAATAATCACCAGGTGCCCACGTAGCAAAAAATTATGCTTCTGAAATCTTGGCTGTGGATTTTGCACATAGAGTAATCAAGTTGTCATATGTGAGCCACTCGTGACAATAGTCCTTCTTAGGAGTGTCTTTTTGTTTTAATGAAGCACCTCTGGGTGGGTTCCTAGATAAGGGATGATCTCCTGAAAAACCAATCCATGATTAGAAGGTTGGACTTTTCATCCATTCTCTTGAGAAAGGAGCGGGGCTGAAAAATAGAATTGACAATTGATCACACATACGTGATGAAGCCTCTATAAAATCCCCAAAACCTGGGGTTCAGAGAGTTTCTGAGTTGGTGAACACATGAAGGTAGTGGGGGAGTGGTATGCCCAGACAGGACATAGAAACTTTATGCCCCTTTCCATATACCCTTTTACCCTACGCATCATTGTCATCTGGTTGTTCATCGTCATGTTTTTTAATAAACTGGTAAACGTAAGTAAATGTTTTCCTGAGTGGGACTGAGCCCTTTACCTGTGGGATCTAATGCTATCTCTAGATGGTGTTAGAATTTAGATCAATTGAAAGACATCTAGCAGATGTCACAGAGAATTGCTTGGTGTGGGGAAAAACCCCACACATTTGGTGACCAGAATGTTGGAAGTGCAGTGTCGTGTAGTGTTCTGTATGAAAGTAAAGGAGACTCCAAGGGAGGAAAGATATAGTAGGGAAGAGCTGGTTTTTCCTATACAGAAGGTGGAAGACAGTTTTTATTTTTTCCTTCACAGCTACTGGGGGTGCTAAATCATGTACCAGAGTAACGATAGACTTTGTAGCATGAGTATAAGCTGGTAACTTGCCTGTATTGCAGAATTATTCTCTCAGTTTTTTTAAATGATCTGCAACATTATGTAATGGTCCTTTTGTGTTGTGTACTCTTGGATATCTTTTGCTAGCATTGCTGCTGCCCCCACTAGGACATTCATTCAGAACTTAACCATTCAGCAAACATTTGTATATCTACTTTCTGCCTACCAATAGTGTATGACTTAGTTGCCTGGTCTCTTGGGAGTAATGCTAGCAGAGGACAAGTAAATTGGATCACAAGATAGCCTGCAAAGTAGGTCATCCATATGGAAGTTCAGTTTGGTAAGTGATTCTGTACTCTGGATTCTAAGCCAGTGCTGTCTTGGTAGTTCTCTGGGTCTCTGCTGTCCACTGTGGTAGCCAGCTGACATATATGGCTGTTGAACATTTGAAACATGGCTAGTGTGACTGAAGAACCAAAATTTTAAATTTAAATAGCTATGTGTGAATAGTGGTTATCATATTGGACAGCACAGGTCTAAGGTGTACAGCTAGTGTAATTCACTTATTATAGGTATTTATATTATCCTTAAAAATAGCTTTCTACCTTTGCATACTCTCTTTAAGTGCTTCTGGTTCAGAAGGCCATCTGGCTAACAGCTCTCCAGCTTCACCCAGCATCCTAGTGGCAAAGTTTGGATAGAACTCTGTGCTAACAGTAAAATAGCTACTGTTAAAGTTGTCTTAAAAATTGGTGTCTTCCAGTTAAGAGAATAAGACCATCACAGAACATGAAGGAAGATATTTTATACCTAACTGTTGTCAATTCCCTGACAGGGACCTATGGTCTTTACTTCCTATGTCTGTACTCCATGGGTGCTGCAGATATATGGAATGACCATAGTACTTTTACCTTAGATTTCAATCACCTGTCCCCTCACCACTAATTTTTCCTTTTGGAGATAATGCTACCCAGAAAATAGTTGGTTAGAAATTTTGGATTAGGCCAGAAAACTTGGACACTGGTTCTTTGCTTTTTGGAAGTTAAAATCCTTAACCTGTGATTGGCAGAAGAATAGATATATGGATTAGTGGGACAAAACAGAGAGCCCAGAAATAGATTTGTACATATAGAGTTAACTGGTTTTTGACAAAGGACAAAGCCAATTCAGTAGAGGAAGGATAAGACGGTCTTTTCAACAAAATAGTACTGGAATAATTAGACATCAGTATGCACTGAAATTAAATGAGACCACACCTTACACTTTATACCAAAATTAGGTCAAAACAAACCACAGATCAAAATGTAAAAGGCAAAAACTGTAAAGTTTTGGGAAGAAAAATCTAGGTAACCTTGAGTTTAGTGATGAGATAAAACACCAAAAACATGATACATGAAAGAGAAAGAATGGATTAGTTGGCAATATTAATATTAAAAATATCTGCATTATGAAAAGCACGGTTGAGAAAATGAAAAGACAAATTATAGACTTGGAGAAAATATTTGCAAAAGATACATTTGATAAAGAACTTATATCAGAAATACACAGCCCTGGCCAGTTTGGCTCAACGGTTAGAGCGTCGGCCTGCGGTCCGGAGAGACCCGGCGGTTCCCGCTAAGGGCACGTACTTTGGTTGCAGTTTGTCCCCGGCCCTGGTTGGTCGTGCGGGTGGCAGCCACTCGATGTGTCCCTTCACGTCGATGTTTCTCTCTCTCCCTTCCTCTCTCTCCCTCCCACTCTATCTGTACAAAAAATGGAAAAGTATCCTCGGGTGAGGATAAAAAAAAAGAAATACACAGGATGTCTTAAAACTCAGTACTAAAGAGACAATGCAATTTAAAAATGAGCAAAATTTATGAAGCACTATCACACCAAGAAAGATACCCAGATTATAAACATATGAAAAAATGTTCCACATTTGTCATTAGGGAAATGTGAATTAAAACAATAAGCTGCCACTACACACATATTAGAATGAACAAAACCCAGAATACTGACAATGCTACATACTGGCTGGAATGTAGAACACCAGGAACTCTTTCTTTGTTTTGAGGAGTGCAAATGTTGCAACCACTTTGGAAGACAGTTTGGCAATTTCTTATAAAGCTAAATGTAGTCTTACTATTATGCTGACAATCATACTCTTATGTATTTACCCACCAGATTTGAAAACTTGTGTCCACACAGATACTAGCACATATGTTTGTAGTAACTTTATTTGTAATTGCCAGAAAAGGGGAGTAATGAAGATGTCCTTCATTAGGTGTGATAAACAAGCTATGGTACATTCAGACAATGGAATACTATTCATTGTTAAAAAGAAAGGAACTATCAAATAATACAAAAATAGCAATGAATTTTTTATTAATTTATTAATTTTATTAATTTATTTTTGTTACAGATGTTTCTCCTTTTTTCCCCCACTAATCCCCCCTCCCTCTCCTTCCCCACCCTGTCTCCAGCTTTGTTCTCAATGTCCATTGTTCATGCACACATGCATATAAGTTCTGTGGTTTATCTCTCCCCCATCACACCCTATTCTGGGGATTGTCAGTCTGTACCCCACTTCCACTTGTCTGGGACTACCCCATTCTTCAGATTGTTATGTTCATTATATTCCACAAATAAGTGAGATCATACGATACCTATCTTTCTCTGTTTGGCTTGTTTTGCTTAGGATATACTTTCCAGGTCCCTCCATGTCCTCTCAAAGGATAAGATTTTTCTTTCTTACAGCTGTGTAGTCCTCCACTGTGTATATGTACCACAGCTTTTTTTCTTCTTTTGTCTACTGATGGACATTTGGGCTATTTTCGAATCTTAGCAATTATAAATAGTGCTGCTACGAACATGGGGGTACATGTATTCTTTCTGATTGGTGATTCAGGCTGCTTAGGGTATATTGCTTGAAGAGGGATCACTGGGTCAAATGGCAGTTTAATTTTTAATTTTTTCAGGCAACACCATATTGTTTTCTCTAGTGACTGCACCAGTCTGCATTCCCACCAGAAGTGTACTAGAGTCCCCTTTTTTCTACACCCTCACCAACACTCCTTGTTTGATGATTTGTTGATGACAGCCATTCATAGAGGTGTGAGGTGATACCTCATTGTTGTTTTAATTTGCATCTTTCTGATGATTACTGACGTAGAGCATTTTTTCATATGTCTCTTAGCATTTGTATGTCCTTTATGAAGAGGTATCTATTCAGCTCTTCTGCTCATTTTTTAATTGGGTCCCTTGTCTTCCTTTTGTGGAGTTGTATGAGCACTCTATATATATTGGAAATTAACCCCTTATCTGATATATCATTGGCAGTGATGCTCTCCTATACAGTGGGTTGCCTTTCCATTCTGGTGGTTGTTTCTTTTGGTGTGCAGAAGCTTTTGAATTTTATATAGTTCCATGTGTTCATTTTCTCCTTTGTTTCTGTTGCCTTAGGTGATGCGTCAGTGACAATTCTGCTGTCTACAGTTTCTTCTATGATTTTTATGGATTCATGAGTCACGTTTAAGTCTTTTATCTATTTTGAGTTTATTCTTGTGTATGGTGTAAGTTGATGTTCTAGTTTC